CTGACGTATGGCACAAAACGTGTCGAAACTAGAGAATGTAGTTGAAGGGATGAAAATTACCACAAAGGGTAAGCTTGAATGTGACACTTGTGTGCAAGGGAAAATGTCCCAATATCGAAATAGGGAACCCGACCGTTGTGCGACTTCACTGCTACAGTTAGTCCATGGTGACCTGGCGCGTCCTCTCACTCCAGAATCAAAGGATGGTCACAAGTAGGGTATTTGTAGATGACCATTCAGGTGCTCTTGGGGTATATTTTCTCAAAAATAAGAGTGATGCTGTTAGGGCAACTGAGCAATCTGACAATGGGGTCGAATACATTAGTGAAGAATTCAAATCCCTCCTGTTGAAAAACCATATTAAGCATGAATTTTCAGCTCCCTACTCACCCCATCAAAATGGAACAGCTGAAAGAGCCTGCAGATCAGTTTTTGATATGGCTAGATGCCTACTAATTGATGCAGAATTACCCAAGCAGTTATGGACATATGCTGTCATGACATCAGCTTATATACGCAACAGATGTTACAACCCCAGAACAGGTAAATCCCCTATGAGTATTTGACAGGTACCAAACCCAACCTGTTCAACATGCACACATTTGGTACTGTGTGTTATGCTTATGCACAGAACAAAACCAAATTAGATCCTAGGGCTGAGAAAGGTATTTTTGCTGGTTATGACAGATCTAGCCCTGCTTTTCTTGTTTATTACCCTGATCAAAACAATGTGAAGAAAATCCGATGTGTCATGTCGCTGAGAAGTTTGACAGTGTTGATGAAAATGCGGATTTACTACCTGATTCTGTTGAATGCAACAGAACCTGAAATGCCAAAACCAGGAAATGGGCAGGAAAGTATTAGGCGTTACACCACTAGAGATCGTGCTAAACCAAAGTATCTTGATGACTATATAACTGGGGAGGAACTAGACAATGCAGTTGATGATGCTGCAAATTGCACAGTTGTTTTCTGTTACAGAGTAAGTAATGTTAGAGAGTCCTACCAAGATGCTATGTCATCCCTAGAGTCCAGTAAGTGGAGAGATGCAATTAATGAAGAATTAGATGCATTATGGGATAAGTAAACATTTGAACTCATTCCTTTACCAGAGGGTAGAACCTCTGCGGGGGGGGGAGGAAAGTGGGTCTATGCAATAAAATTAGATCCCAATGAGGAGGAAAAGTACAAGGCACGATTTGTTGCTAAGGGCTACTCCCAGGCCCCAGGTATAGATTATCATGAGACTTTTTCACCACCTGCTCGAATAACCTCAGTTCTCATGCTAATGCAGTTAGCAATCCAGAAGGGTACGGTAGTACATCAGATGGATCTTAAGACGGCCTATTTAAATGCTCTCATCAACTGTGAGTTATACATAGAGCAACCAGAAGGTTATGAGAGGAGAGGCTCCAATGGTGAAAAGCTTGTTTGTAAACTAAAGAAATCCTTATGTAGCCTGAAACAGACTGGTCGGAATTGGAGCTTTTTGTTGCATGGTTATTTAACACAAGAAGGGTTTGTACAATCCCTAGGTGATCCGTGTGTATATGTTAAGAGTACTGAATTTGGCCAAGTGATTGCAGTTGTATGGGTTGAAGACATTAAATTGCAGGTAGTAACACAGATGTATTGAAAAAGGCCAAAGGGTCTCTCATGATGAGATTCAAAATGAAAGACCTAGGTGTTTTATCATGGATCCTAGGTATCTAGTTCGAGTGTGAAAATGACTGTATTGAAATGAGCCAAAGCAGGTTTGTTGCAGAGATTATGGGAAGGTTCAACATGTCTGATTGCAGGCCAAAAGCAGTCCCACGCGAATTTGGCGGAAACAAAGCTAGTACAGTCAATGAAAGTGAATTTGAAAACGTAAACCTGTATCGTGAAATTGTTGGAAGTTATTTATCTTATGACTTGCACAAGACCTGATTTGTGTTATGTTGTGACATACCTATCCCAACATCTGTCAAAGCCAATGAAATCACATTATGGGATGGCTAAGCAAGTGCTGAGGTATTTACAGGGTACTTATAACAGATTCTTAAAGTTTGTTCAGGGATCTCAGCTGAAACTAGTGGGATATTGTGCACCAGAAGCACAAGCGAACTCACACCTCAACACTGCAAGAAGCTGGAGAGATGATGAAATCCGTTTCTGGGTACCTTCAAGGCACTGTTCAATCAGTGCAGACATTACTGGGCACCAGCAAGGAGACCAATGGACCTGAAGGAACTGTTGCAAGCAAGACAATCAGGTCTGTTAACATGATAAATCAGGGACTGGCAAGGTTACAGAGCAACATCGCAAAAATAAATCCAGAACTTACAGTTACGCCTGAAGCTCTCCTCACCGTGAAAGTCGAGAGCCTCCTAGCAGTTTCCCATTTCAAACATCAAATATGTAAGCAGTTACACTACGCCAGGGATTTTGAGACTACA